CTTAGAAGTACTTGATATTGCATCACAAATATTATTCTAATACTTGGTTCATATGTTTTATTTGTCCATCAATTCAAAGATAAAAAGTTGAAAATAACTTGATATCAATCTATAATATTGTAAAGAATATCTTCTAAAAGCTTGATATGAATTGGAATTGGCAATTGAGTATAATGTTATTAAAAAGTCCCTGCAATTGATAAATATTATCTAAAAAATGTTTAACTATTTTTTCATAAATAATTATTTTAAACATAATAAAATTATTCTATTTCAATAGAAAAATCTATTATTACAAAGATAGAATTATAAACAAGTGAAATTAAAAAATCCATGATGAAATCTATTGAAAAAAATGATTAATATTGCTTTCAAATATGTAAGGATTAAAGAAGTCTATAAGATTGATAATGTAGAGTCTTTGCTTTAGAACAAGTATTACATGATTGAATAAATGTTTTTACTTCTTTCTACTTTTAAAGCCATCAAAAATCTCTTGAAATAAGTTCTAATATTTTATGATATGTAAAATATTATATTGTTAGAAAATCATATTATGCTAGTATTGCATATAATTATGTTTTTTTTAGAAATATATAGACAAATTTCATAAGTTTTTTTAAATTAAAATTTATTAGAGTTATTAAAAATTTTATTTTAAATATCAAGAAAAAAAAGAATTTTCAATGTATATAAACAAACTTCATTGAAAAAAATAGTATCAACTAGAATTATTGAATCAATAGCTTAAAGATACAATTGATTTAGTTTCAAAACAATAGTTTGTTATTGATAATATATTGCATCTCTTTCTTTAGTCTCTTTTTATTTTACAATGGTCAATCTAATTTCTATCTTATATCTATTTTTGATTTATTTAATTTTTTTAAGTATTATAAGAAGGCATTTATTCTTTTTAATTTTTTAATGATTCACGTCTTTGATAAGTTTTGTTATTTTCTAGGAAAATATATAATATTAAATAAAAATAATAAAAAGACATGTTATAAAGTATTTGATGCTAATTTAATATACATGCTGACATAAAATATTTAAGATTATTATGATTAGTATAAATTGTGATGGAATGAAAATAGCCTTCTATGTATTAATACTAGAAGTAATTATTTGTTGTGGATTTGATAATTAATCTTTGTTGTTGAGTATTTTTTTGAATTAAAAGCAACATAGAGCCTATCATCTATGTCTATTTGTAATAAAAATTTCTTTAAATATAACATTTCTATGAATTTATTTTATAAAATATTTTTTTAAAAAAATAGATAATATAAAATAGGAATTGAAGTAAAGTCATTTTTAAACTTTGTAATATTTCTTCTTTATCTTAATTCTATTATAACTTGGAAGTTAATTGAATAACCAAAGCTGCAACTTAAAAGAAGTTTTTTATAAATATCCAATTATAATTTGCATATCTTAAAAAATATTGGAATTTGATACAATTCTTAGATTTTTCCAATCTATAATAGTCCGCACCTTTTTAGAATCCATTTGTAAGTTGTCTTTTGAAATAATGTACTTCAAAATTCTACTTTAATTGTGTAAAAGTCACATTTTTTCATCTTGTTGTATAATCTTAAATCTCTAAATTTTTGTAGCATAAGGAAAATTTATTGTTTAAATTTTTCTATATTCTTAAAATAGATGAGAATGTTGTCCAAATAACATATGAAAAAATTATCTAGATATTCAAAAAACACATAAATTTATTAAATTTTCTAAGGAAATTAGAATATTCATAAGTCTAAAAGGAAAAAAATTGTATTCAAATTAGCCATACTTAGTCTAAAATATAGTCTTCTATACATCTTTACTTTATTATATATCAAATTATAAACTCTTTGTAAGTCTATTTTACTATAGATTTTAGCTTCATTTAGTTGATTACAGAATTTTAATATTAAAAGAAAAGGAAAAAATAAATTATAATTATTTTTTTAAGTCCACAAATAATCTATACACATTTGTAAGGATCTATTTTTTTTCTTCATAGAGAAAATTGACGCATGTGCAAGAAAATTTTAAGTGTTGAACAAAATTTCTTTGAAGATTTTTATTTATGAAATCTTTCAAAACAAGAAGTTTATTCTATGTCATATTATAAATTTGTCCAAATGGTAGTTAAGTTATTCTTAAAGATTAATTATACAATCATAAAGTTTATATTTTAACAGTATTATTATTCTTCTTTTCAAATATATCTTAATAATATTTATATTGCTTTAGGATTCTATTACAACCTTTATTTAAATAAAGACTTAGTATTACAAGATTGACAAATGAATTCATAACTTATACAACTTACATAAAAGCTTTAGCTCTCACAAACAAAGATTGTAATAGTTTTTTATCATTGAAATAGATCTTAAAATGAACTTTTGTAATTTTTAATTAATATTAGGATCATATAATTTAAAGAAAAAAAAACTAATTATTATTAGATTTGAAGGACATTGAATGATGTTAAAGACAATATTAGATACGTAATCTCCTAGTCTCATTTTCAATAATTTGATTTTCTTCTATGACTTCTTTAAAAGCAAGTAGTCTTTTTATCAATAACTTCTATTGTAGTTGGTTGGATCTTTTTTGAAATTATCAATTCTTATTGTTATACAAAGTCTTTATTTATTTATTTATTTACTTTTTAATATCAATCACTTGAATTGCATTATATCAATTTGCATAAGTTCTAGCCTTGATAAATAAGTTTCTAATAACCTAGAAGTTGTTGTTACGACTTAATTTGTTCCTCTCTACTTAAATCTTTATTCTTGGTACTTTTTAAAGAATCAATTTTTGCATGCAATAGCTTAAGCAATTAATTATTTCAATTAGTCTTTTTTTTGCATTGTTAATAATAAGTCTTTGATATTATCTTTTAATACATATTTTAATTGATTGATAAGCATTTTATTATTCTAATCCATGTTTTATTAAAATTATTATTAATAAATTGAAAAGAAAAATAATTAATAAATATAATAAGAAATTTTTTATCTTTTAATTATTCCTAATATATACTTTTTTTCAACCATCATTTATTAGTTGATTAAAAACATTTAGATAAAAAAAAAGTTAATTATAGTATGAATAGTATTTTTAAAGAAATGTAAAATCAAATTATAATTTTATAAATTATTAGTAATAAAAAAATTTAAAATATATATTATTAATATAATATAATTTTAAAAATATATTATAATTTATTAATTAATTATGAATAAATTATAAAATTATATAAATATAAATATTAATATAATTTCTTACATAAATATAAAAAATTTAAAAATATAATATACAAAATATGATGTTTTAATATTTAGATATATTGTATACCAACATAAATAAACTACTTTAATTTCTACATCAATTAGTAGAATAATAAGCATGGTTTTGTTTTCTAATTGTCTTTTTTATTTTGAATTATTTAGATATATTTAATACTACTTATGCTTCAATTAATACACACTACAATAAGTTTAATAAACGAATTTCTTAATTATTTTTATTTAATTTAGAAGTTGTATAAGGTTTAATTATTCTTAAAAAAAAATTTAAAAATAGTAAATTTCAAAAACTAAAATACAGAAAAATATTTTTTAATTAGTATACTATAATAAAGATGTAAAAATAATATATTTATATTGCATAAAATACAAAAGCTATCTTTTAATCACTTGATTAGTTTAAATTTTTAGAAAAAATATTTGGAATTTTTATTTATACATACATACATACATATATACATACAAAAAAAAACACTTAAAATAATTTATTTTTGAAAGGATTTAATTAATAAATATTCATCTATTACATAGTTATATGTTTTAGTTAATTTATTTTGAAGAAATAAATTAACATAGTATAGTTTTATTTTTGTCTAACTTTATAATTTCTTTTATTTTCATTTTTTTCCTTTTGATAAGATATAAAAATAATTTTTTATTGATAATTTTAAATAATTTTATTAATTAATTACTTATAAATAAAATATATATTTAAAATAGAAACATTCAAGAAATAGATTAATAAATATAAAATACTTTGTTGTAATCTGTTTTTTTAAGAATGGTGGTTATGTCTTATCAACACAAAAAAAAACATTATGCATGAAACTAGAAGTTAATATTATAGAAAATAAATTTTCTCATTAATCCCTAATAAAAAATTTGAATGTTAAATGCTTTATTCTTTCTTTAATTAAATTCTGAATAAAAAGAAAAATGTGACTTATATTATTAAAATTTATTAAGGTATATTTTTATAATAACACTGTAGAAATATCCTCATCTTAAAAATTGTGTTTTTATTAATTTTTAATAAAAAATTATTATTATTTATAATATATCATTTTTGTAAAAATAAGTTAATAATATTAAGTTAAAAATATGTCAAGTGTATTAATACTATATATATATGCATATGAACAAAAAAAGAAATTAATGAAATTAACTTTTTGATATAAAAATATAAAATTAAAGATTTATATAAAATATAATTATATTTTCTATATGGAATTAAATTAAAATACACATAGAATAAGGAATCAACGTGCTATAGTTTCTAAAGTAAAGCATTTAAATCAATTTTTGTTCATATAAAATAACTACAATTGAATCCATCAATGATTTCAACTTTCTGTACTGTTTTGAATTATATTTATTAAGTAAAAAATTCATGATTTAATTTTTGAAATGTACTCAATGAAAAGATCAAATCATCAAAGTTATAAAAGTAATATGAATATATGAATATATTATCATGAAAGAAATTTAAAAACTTGAACTAAAATTTAATACATTCATTAAAGTTGTAGTTTTTAGTTATTATATCTGAAGACATCTAAAATTATTTGAGAGAATATAATAACAATAAATCTTACTAATTTTATCTATTTATATATATATCCACATACATATAGAAAAACATGCATAAAAATATGTACATATAGTGCTTAACGAAAATAAATTAAGGAGAATATTACCTGAATAATTAATTAAGAAAAATTCATAAGAAGGAAGTTTATAATTTTATACTACAGTGCTGTTGACAATGTCCGTTAACACAGCATATTAGATTTCAAATAAGTGTTTTAACTATCTTTTGATAAATTAAAAAAGCAAAGACGTTATTTACTTTGCGTCTTCCATTTCTTATCAACCTCAAAAATGTTCCTATTATCGTTTATGACATATTTTCATCCGTGAATTTTTGAGAGCACTTCATCTTTAGAATTGGAAAAATTTGTAAATGATGAGACAACTTTTCCTTTTTCATCTGATATCAAATTTCACACAATTTCAAATTTTAATTTTAAAAATGATCCAAGTGGATAGTAAATAAATTATAAATGTTTTTTTTTATATGTAAATTCATATTTGATAATATATATATTCGAAATCCAATTATATATGATAATGTCTGATTCTGGTATAAACACCAATAGTTTATATGCCAATGAAACACATTTAACTTGTATAATATATAATAAATATGTGGCGTGATTCTTTTTACGTATTTACTTGTGTGTTAAATATTTTTCAATGTGTTCTTATTATTTTGAGTAGTAAAAGTTACCTAAAATAGTTTTGATAAGACGTTTTTCATCTGTGTACACTGATAAAAGAAAAAAGGAAGAAAATAAATCAATCATGTAAATTAGCATCGTTTTTATCATCTTTCAAATTTTAATTTTAATTTCATTAAATTCATTTTTGCATAATTCTCTGTATGAAAATTTTGTAATGAAATGATTAATATATTAAAATTTAAGAGTTATTCTGAAAAATAATTACTATTAAAATTCTTACAAATATAGGTTTCTATTTCAAATTAAGTAGCATATTTAGGTATTAAAATTTAGAAGTATGAATCAAACCTGGATTGTGATAATGTTTTGAATGCTTGAATTGATGATGCTTGCATTTATGAAAACATTGATGGAGTTGTGATTTTTTTGATGGACGTTGGTTTGCATACTTTATGTGTGAAATAATTGTTGCATTGTGAGGGTCAGAACATTTCTTGCAAATTTTTCTACATTTTGAATTGAAGTGAGAATATTTTAGGCAATGATAAGGAATATGTTGTGATTCTTTCTTCAATTCATGGAGACGTTTTTCATGCATATCATTTGTGTTTTGTAAAGAAATAATATTTTGTTGTGGTTTTGATTGTGTACACATTAAATGTTGCATGTTAGGATGAGGTTTTAAACATGTCGATACTTGAGTCCAAGCTTGTTTTGTAGTAAGTGGTGAAGAAATGTTTCTACTTGCTTCTAGATTTTTCCATTTCACAAAATCATAGTCAAAATTTGGCTTTGGAAAGTATTCTTGAGGGTTTAATATAATTTTGTTTTTAGGTGAGTTAAAATATTTTTTAGTGGGCTCTCCATAATTTATTACTGCACTTGTGGGTGAATTGTTATCTTTAATATTTATCCTTGAAAATTTTGTAGTTGAAGTTGACAAAGGTAGAGTTTGAAATGAAGTTTTGACATTATTCAATTTTTCTAATAAAGATGGGTCATATTTATTTTTTTGAGGTGGAATGGGTTGCATGTGCTCATGTAAAGCTATTGATTGCAAAGGATTTTTTGTGTTATTCCAATCCAATTCAGATGTTGTGGCATTATTGTGGCTTTTTGATCTATATTGATCAATTTTTGTCTCATGCTCTTTTGATGTAACTCCATCTATTGGGTTTTCTTTACTACTTTGAAATGTGTGATTACACAAATTTTGCCTAATGAAATGATACAAATCATCTTTTGATAAACTATACTCATGTTTTTCTTCTCTTCCCTGACATTGATCGATTTTAGTTGCATTAAAATGAGGCGCTTTTATCGCTTCTGGATGATGCAATTCTATTTCTGGTGCAACAAAATTATTCTGGTTTTTTGGTAGGCAATAAAAATCATTATCCATTGCACTTGTATGATTTTTATATGGATTAAATTGATGTATATTAGAAACTTCAACATCTAATAATTTCTTTTTTTCTTTTAATGGTTGATGCCAATCAAAATAATAAGCTCTAAGCAAATGTTTGGATTCCTCTTTTGATTGATTCAAATAACAATGTGATTCAATTTCTTTCAAAGTATTGAAATCTTCCAATGAATTCTTTACTGGAACTTCAACAGCTCTTGGTTGTGAAAATGGTGCTTGCTTCTGTGTGGCAAATGTTGGTTGTGAAATTTCTTCTATACAATCCATATTAAGTTTTGATAATTCTTTAATTGATTCATGTTGTGTAATGAACATATCTTGTGGAACATCATCAATAATATTTGCTTGGTATTGCAAAGGTTCAAACGGAACTTGCTTTTGTGTAGTATAAAGAGATTCTGAAGATTGTTCTCTTGGAACTTTAGTGGCATCAAAAGCATTTAGGTATGCTTTTTCTATCATGATAGATGAAACTTGTGAAGATTGACTAATACATATTTTTTTAAGCTCAACATTTCTTGAAGAATTTTGTTTTAGTTTACCAAATGTTTGTGAGGATTCATCAATAGTATCCATTCCATTTGGAAGAGGTTCTAAAGATTCATGCTTAAGTTTAATAATTGGAAATTGTGAAGATTGATCAATTATGATTACTTTGGTATCTAATTTTTGGAAATGTTCATGGTTTTGTATGGTGGATGAAGGTTGACCAATGGTATCAATCTCAATTTCATTCAAGTTCAATAATTCTTCTTTTGCTTCAATGGGTAAAGACTGTTGGGATTGATCAAGGGAACTTATATTAATTTCTTCAAAACTTATTAAATCTTGCTTTGGAAGAATACTAGAATTATTTGAGGAATGGTCCATCAATTCAATATCAGACTCGTAAGGCTTTCGTGACATTTCTTGTGCTGAATTCAGTAATGGTTTTGGATCCTTCTCAGTTGTGTCCATTTCCAATTCAAAATCCTTTGGATTTGATAAATTCACATTTTGTAATTCACTCATGCCTTCTTGAACTAATGATTTTTCTTCTCCCACTTCATCACCATCAACTATTTTTTTTTCATTTTCACAAATTTCATCATCTTTTGGAGATTTGGTTTCTTCAAACAATTCATAGTTTTTGTTTTTTGATTTTACTTTTTTGTGATTTTCTTCCACTTCATCACCGCTCACTAATTTTATTTCAGCATCTCCTTTTGAAGAATGAATGTCTTCATGTGATTCGATACTTTTGTTTTTTGAGTTTGTGTGCTTGTGATTTTCTTCCACTTTACTTCCTTGTGGATTATGTTCATTATTTCGCAACAATTCTTGCCAGTCAAGATCCTCCTCAAGTTTTGTAGAAGAAAAAGATAAGCTCCTTTTCTTTCGTTGTCTTTCTATGCTATTCCGTTCATGGATCATATTATCAAGAGGGTTGGTGATTCTAGCAACTGGGTCATTATAACCTTCTGGCAAAAGTGCAGGATGTATAGATGATGCATATTGTGGTGCTTTGATTTGTATCTAGAGCAAAACAATAAAAATAAAAATAAAAATAACACATCAATGAACAAATAAGTAAAAAATACATCACATTCAACAAAAACTCAAAATACAAACTTAATAAGCAATATATTACATACACAAATATTCACTAGCCTATGTATCAGTTTGAAAGAAATTAGAGGAACATATTGTCATAAATAATAAAATTTATCATAATATTCATAATCATAATGATTGGAGGCTCATAGAACTACTTGAAATTGTCTCTCTTGAATAATTGTCAACCCTCTCCTACAAATAACTCGTAGCTGCTCCAAAGCTACTGATGATAACTATACAAAAAAGCATTCCCTACTGTTTTTGTACATCAATAACTAGTTGAAAAAATGCACATGATAAATTTATAAAACTAGGTTGGTTTCATATCAAAGTGTTGTAACCACAAATCATGTTCTGAAACAGATTCATGAATTTTTACGAAAGCAATGAAAACATGATTATGTCTAAGTTTTTTTTATACAAGCCACAAACAACACAAAAAGTCATTCTTACTTAACATTATTTTCCAGTTAGGAGTGGAACGAAATTTACATGAGCTTACATTTTCAATGCCTTCTCCATTCATATAACGTCGTTTGAAAGATAACAACCTGAACAACTGATTAGTCAAGGCAGCCTCGTTGTTCAGCCTGTCCACAGTGTGACAACTGCCTCCCTGATTCTTTCCTATAGCCAGATATCAATATTTCATCTCATGTGTTCAAGTGACCACAATAATCAAACGCATTGACAATTGTAGTTATTCCATATGTTCTAACTTTGTACCTGAAATGTAATCTGTGTAAATTTCCCACACAGCTAAAGCCTTAATAGCATCTTTCTTGTACTTTTCAGCATCTGCAAAAGTCTGCATCGTCTCCTCTTTGAGCTTCATGTACGCTTTTGTCACCCTCTCTATCTCCTTCTGTAAGGTTGCGTCCCGGCAAGGTCAGAATGTTGTCTTTGTCAGAATAGCCGGAAGAAAAAAATACATGCACGGTAAATCACTAAAGAAAATTAAGATTAGTTTTAATGTCACTAGTGTTGACGTTAAGATGATGAGAATCGAAACCAGCACCCATCCAAGCAATTCTGGAATTACAGTATACATTATCAGACAGGCATATTCTTTGGGTAATGGAAATAGACCAAGCTAGACAGAGCGGACATCTTGATTGAATTCTTGAATGAGAATGAGGTTCACGAGATGAGTACGATAGATTGCACTAATTTTACATATGTCTACTGCTCCTATATTTGTCTAACAAGAGGCGGAGAACTGTTAGATACGAAGTACTAATTATAATAGAAACTTGACTGGCAAAGTCGTTGAGGTCAATCATGTCGAAGCTTAACTACGCCTCCCCTTCCATCAAGGGTGTCTGACTTTTCTAGTAAGTTTGGATGTCATGAAACAGGATAACGAAGGTGTATTTATCTTTTGTATTAGAAGGTACCAACATAATGAAATGAACTCACATGGTTACAGGCGCTAAGAAAGATATCCTCAGATGTTTCTATATTCTCAGATGTTTCTATTTTTTCCAGTTCAAGTGCAGTCGGATAAAGATTAGTTACTGATGACATGTATGAGAGCAAAACCTGAAGGACACTTGTTTCATGACCTTGACGACGCTGCAGTTCTTTCCTATTCGATGGAGACTTTGAAAGTAAGGATTCAAAATGACTTGCTTTCTCTCGGACAACCTGTAGCTCTCCTGGAGGCATGGGCAATGCAACAGGTTTCTGCAGCAGTCCATCGTAAAACACGCGCCAGACTCGAACTTGGCTTTATTCTAAAACAAGCAAGAGTTGCAGCCCATGAAGTCGTACTTGTTTTCATGACAGTCAGATTAGTTATCATCTTTGAGGTAAACAGCATCAGACTTGATTTTAATCATGCAAAAGCGCATGCACGTGAACTTCTTTAGCACACGTTCAATAGACAGCTCTAAACACAGAGGATTCCAATGTAAAGGATCTACCTGCCCTAATAGCACAAACTCTCAAAAATTCATCTGTAGTGAAGTTCGATTTTCATAAAATACTAACGCCCCGGAAAAATCAAAACTAGTAATTGAGCAAATTGGGGACTACGTTATCATTCATGCGAATACAAAAAAGTTTTTTGCAGTGTAGATTCCAATGTTTGTACTGTTTGTACAATTCTGCAGGGCTACATCATGAAGGTCAAGCATGAAGATGTTGCAGACAACTTGCAGGTACATACCTAAGAGAAAAGGTCGCGAAAATGAAGCCAATTGCACAGCATGCATCCAGACCATCTGATGAATGTTGCACTTTAATCAGCTTCTTATGATTGTGTTAGATGGCAGAATTTCACCACACCACGTATGCAGTTATGACCATATATTCAAGTTGTGCCATACAAAAGAAGGCGACAACGACAAAAAGTCAAAGGTAGTCAATATTTTGTACATCATGCATCTGGCCTCAAATTCGTTAATTAAACAATACTGCGTTTAGGTGGATCTTGTGGATGTTCAGAAAGCTATTACATTATAACATTAGGCCCTTTAGAATCAAAAGCTTGGTTGCACACGGATCAGCTTATGATAATGAAAACGAGTAATGGTCCTGATTTGCAAATGGATTATATCGTAGATAAATACAAAATTTTCCGAGTTAGACATAAACACTTGGCACAGCATAGGCATAAGTTACCTTAGCTTCCTGAGAGGGAGCCGAAATGTGATAACTAGCAAACTTTGCAAACGAGGCCACTTCAGGTTCTAGTCGTAAATGAAAACAGAACCGGCGCCCTGCAAGGAAACAAGGGGTAATAGAATCTTTTAACTGCATAATTACTACATACAAGGGCAAAAAGGAAAGACAATTGATGATGCTTCTGTTAAAGCTCTTCTTGGAGATAATTATGATATCAAAAGTTTATTTGTCTGTTCTTTGATCCGACCCCAAAGCATCTATCTAGTGAATCTAAGGATATTTCCCGGAATGAAATGTCAATACAATGAACCTACCCGTGTCTGTGTCATCCCCATCTTTAATAAAAGCGCCTTCTAAAGGGATGACTCCTACTGGTACCGTAGTCAGTATCTGTAACATGACAATAAGCAATCGTCACCCACTATTGATATCATTGTTAACTGTTACGGAAGATGGCGAGATTGAGAGGGCGTCCCATCCTAAGGTCACACTTCTCATTAACTCGCAACCAGAAACATAAATAAAGTCGAACAGAAGGAATCAGAAGCAAATAAAGACGGCATATTATCAACAGTCAGTGGGCCGACCGTTTAGGATTATAAATTAGTACATCTGTGTTTTTGATATAGTAAAACAGAAAAGGTCCTTGTAGCAGAAAGAAACGGCGATTCCAAATTAATGATTTGTCAACGCGCTTCTCCACCCAACCGACGAGCTCCGGCTCCGACCACAACATCGCCTTTGACGCATGACAATCCAGATCACTAAACTGAGTCAGAAACAATACTCAAGTTTCATCTGGCGCTTTAAGTACTGTGCGAGCACATAAGAGAGACTGATTCAAGGTGCAAGCTTCAAGGGGTAGCTCACGGAGGCTCAACTATGTCACCGAAACCTTTGACGACTATACTTGATTTTGCAGTGAAAATAATTCTGCTGCGACTCAACTTCTAAATTGTTAAGACCTTCGCAGCACTGTTACAAACTTTGGATTATGACGAAAGTACTCTAAACTGACATGCATATGCACCTGATTCTGCAGCTCCATCTTTTCAAAGTATCAGCTATTTTCAGAGTCACAGAATTCAATTTGAAATACGGAGATGGGACTTGCACCTGCCACACTGCTTTCAAACCCTACATCATACATCAATATAATGAGTTTAGAGAGGCGAAATTGTGAAACGTGGTCATGCAAGTTTGACGGAATGTTTGATTAATCATTAAAACTGTTGATCTTACGAATGATAGCACCAAGCCGAGATGTTGAATGTTCTTCAGAATCCGATAGCGAAACGCACGCACACACTATTCTTTCTCCAAGCGCATTGAGAAAGAATCCATTGTTCCGAATTGGTTAATGCACGAGTTATGTAGGAACTTAAATCAAGCAGCTCCTTCTAAACTCAGTAGTCTTCCACTTCTCCTTTACCTCCTTGAAAACTCCTACATCTCGAATCCAATATAGGAAACAGGTGAACGACAGCGAGAGGTGATGATGTACAGGCCATAACCTTGTCCGCTCACTAAATTATCGATAGATGCCAGCAAAGCCGTTGTTGACGTTGAAATCCGGGACATAAAGCTCCAGAAGATCCTCATTAAACTCCATGTGCCGATCTCAAATGCAAGGTTCAGTGCCTACTACTTCAAATCAGGAAAGCGGTAAAGAGCACCTGTTGAACTTCTATCTCCCCGTACATCGTAATTAAAATCATCTTCTCAACGAATATTAGGATACCGATCAACGAACTCGCCTACACTTAGTGCTCATGGTAAGTTTCCCCTTTCATCAATACTGCTCCTCATGATCAATCTCATCCTCCTAATTTCCAGTCTCTATTTTTTTTTGTTTTGTTTTATTTTTTTTGTTTTCTTGGTTTTTCCAATAAGCCTTCATTTGCACTGCTCCAAAAACGATGATTGATAACGATGAAACAGCTCCTGCAAATAATCAAACCTAGTCAACGAACTTATTTCTTCCCCATTGTATCCTGTGCGCGTACAGAGATAAGGTGAGAAGTAAAACTGTTGAAGGGTCAATAATGCATTGAGCCCAGGTCCACACTGTTCCAGGGAATGTGGATCAGTATCACCATGTTCATCTCAAGTGTCAGGCTTTCCTAATACCTTAACTAGCTCTGCATAATCTTGACAAGTGCACCACCTCTTCTTCAGACAGATTTCAACAATGCAGAACCAGATCCAGTATTACGAACGAATACACCTGGAATCATTGTAGTTTGATTACGTAAGATATTGAGCACTTGAGCCAAGCAAGGAAAACATCTTCTTGTATATTTACTGTTGGTCCCATCATACAGGTCTATGAGTCCACATACTAGACATGTCGTATGCAGACTACAAGATCTACGACAAATTTTGTTGAAGACCCCACTCAGGTTAACTATGGCAAGATGTACCCACTAGTCACAAGAGTTTTAACCTATTTCAGTGCCACCCTCACTAGTATCATGGTAATCAGATCGTCTACTGAAACCCCATCCAGCTTCACACCCTGCTGGCAAAAAACCAAGCCGTCTTAGTCAATAGAGATATACAAATGATCGCTACGATACCCACTTTTAGTCGTTGTCATAATGAAGTTACAAAATTCATCTGATGGTGAAATCCACCGCGATTAACATCTAATTCTATCCTCCAATTTTTAACAGGCATGAGTGACTACAATAATGCTACAATCAGCAAATCGCGAGACTGGCCGTTGACCGAGGATAGTTTATGATACGGCGGGTAAAGACTTCACTGTGGCACTTACAATCGCACAATAATCTTTTAGAGAGAAACGCAACTAATTTGGTGAAACGGAGAACTCAACTTCAGCAACAAGGTGAAGTTAAAAGGTAATTCCCACAGCAAAATCCTTGGACGGAACACGGCAACAAAAATGCATTAAAGTGGAAAAGCTAGAGCTATATTGACCTGTTTCAAATTATCAATCAAACATGACTTGAACAAGCGCCGGATTGGATGCACAGTACTTAGAGAGATGCACGAGTGACACTACTGCTCAATAAAGTCACTGAAGTCGGCATCACAGCACCAAAATAATTGCTATTAAGCAACCTATTATGAGGATATCCTGCACGTTGTGAATTGCCCAATTTCTCTCAAAGATCAATCATCACATGGACAATGCTATCTCCTAACAGCAGAGCCAACTACCACTATCCTCCACATCTCAGCTACTCTAAGAAACCTCCTTCCCAAATTCCGTGAACGACAATCACAGTTCCCAGTGTTGTCCACCCGATGACCTAAACCAAAACAATCACAGCAATCAAGAAATTCAGAGCTACGAAGTACCTATTGTTCAAAAGTTGCAACTAGAGATAAAAAGGATGTAAGCGCAAGGACTCTGCCCACGTTGAGCCACTGCTCGCGTGACCATCACACGTATAAGGCAAGAGATATATTCTCGACCCCCGAGTCCGTTGCGGCTTTTCGGCCTCTCCCAGTCGACGCCGAACGCGTTGCGAAATCGGATTGCGAAATCTGAAAATGACTCGGACCCATCACCCGATTTTGATTCTCAACCGATTTCCGAAACTCTATGGTGGGAATCCGGTAAAACCCAGTAACGAATTGGGGTTGTGTTCTGGTGCGAGAGACCTGCAGGCCAAGCGGAGATCCCAAGAAGGCGATGAGGGCGACGAAGAAACTGCCTCGCGGGGGGGGGGGACCTGTTAGTACACGTGGCTCCAGGTCAGCATGCTGACTTGGCAGAGTGGAGTCTGTGCTGTCCACTTGGCTGATGAATTTGTGGAACGCACTTTCGTTATTCATTCGTTCGTCCGCTACACAGAATTTTTATATCATCCATGGTGTTTCTCATTCATCCAATTCCTATTCTCAATCTATTATCTATTGTGGCTGTTTTTTCCTATTAATGTTTAAGAACAAGAAGTCAAGAACAAATGTTTAACATGCACCAACTTTGAATGCATGTTTGTTGCAACCTTTGGGTGCAAATCAGATCATAGAGAGATATTATTTAGGCACAGTTATTTTCCATAGTGTCAATTTTTGTAGCTCAATTATCATATTTGTGTTGATTGATTCTATTTTGTCGTTTGATTGAACATAAAATGGGATGGATGAAAATTATTTTACAAAACTAATATTATGACCAATTAAATTATCATATTTTGGTGATAGATTCTTTGTAAAGAAGAATAGTTTGTATACATGATAAAATACACACTCTTGTAAGACTTCATCTTTTTCTAATTAATACAAGGCATTATCTCTATGTTCAAAAGAAAATATTTCTTAATAGATGTATATATATATATATATATATATATATAGATATATAGATATGTAAAAGAAATATGAGTAATAGTAATTAAATAATTTTGTAAATAATCTTCTATCAAATGAATTAGACTATATCAAATTGTGAACATCTAAGAATTGCAAATAGAATTAGATACTAGTTGGTTTATTGACAATGTTCTTGCACAAAGAATCTACAATTTAGATTTCAAAGTTTACAAGGTACACAATTTTTTATATTTTTAACACCTTAAAATTTGTATATTAAAAAAAATCCTAAATTTTGATTATAAATTAGAAGAATGATAAAGCAATCCAAATTTTTACTAAAGCAACCCACTCTATCTTAAGCATCATTGTGCCTTTAGAGCCCCCATCCCTATTCCCAGTCATTCCTCATTCGCAACCATTACTAAGGACATGGGCAAGAGGCTAGGAACATCGAGAATGGGGGTGACTGTTGGGTATGGGGCATGTGGGTTGATTTAGTAAAAATTTGGGTTGCTTTATCATTTCCCATAAATTATTAATTAGGTATAGAGGTGTCATATAATATATATATATATATATATATATATATAACAAATAAACAAAAAATACCAATATTTTATATTGCATACACCATTGTTAATGTTCTATATTTATTAGTCTAAATAATAAAATACATGCATAAAAATTCGACTAATTTGTCTTATTGATGACACTTTGTGCCAAATTTACTCTATCTACGACAATACAAATATTTTCATAAACATTAAATTCTTAGTATAGTCTATTGGTATCAAAATAGGTGCATTCACGTGATTTTTTTCCTATAGTCCAATGTTTTTCTTTTTTTTAAGTATTTTAAGTAAGTACAATTAATTAAAAAAAAACACACAATTTATATCCATATATATATATATATATATGGATATAAATTATATATATATATATATATATATATATATGTGGATATAAATTATATATATAATTATATATATATATAATTATATATATATATATATATAATTTAGAAGAAAAGAAAATTCTGGTTAGTGATAACTAAATAGCTTGGTCAACCAATTCAGGAAGATTTTGCACTGCACAAGAACCAACCATTTACGACCAATTGTAAACTAGTTTTGTTTTAATTCATCAAAGTACATACTGAGACAAGTCAAGATGAGAGATATGAAGGAACAAGTAACCCAACTTTCAAAGTGAAGAAAAAACATCCAGGTTTGGACGCAAAGCATTACATAAAAACCTCAGGTTCTAAGTGACCAAAATTGTAGATTATACTGCACCCTAGTTTCCATTGTGAAACCTTGACAACATTATCAAACCAGAGGGGTTCATACATAGAGTACGACATGATAGCAATCACAGAAACATCACAGAACTATGTCTGCTTTCTTCCAGGGACAGAAAAAAAGTGAAAACATATCAGTCATTCACCCCCAAAACTGGATGATTTGAAAGAGAGACCAAGTGAAACTGCGGTTGAAGAATCAGAAATCCTTTGTGAAGTTAATGGGTACAATGATTTCTTCCAGGATGCAGAACCTCAACATAGGAAGCAGGATTTGTCTTGCCTAAATAGATAAAAAGTTCATGCCTACAGAGCAAGAAATAACTGTCAGTAATCCATGAGTTAACCGTGTTTTATCTGGCTTGTAACGAAACCTACAGATCATCGTCGGCTTGATTGGCATATATTCTTCTGGGCTGCATCGTTGGTGCCAGCGGCGGCGTGGGCATTGCTAAGAAATGGTCGTTCCGAGTCCTACGAAGAGACAGCCACCGACAGAAGCAGAATGTGGAGATCATGAGCGTGACTAAGCCCACGCACACGACGGCAATGTACGTGTATGATATCGGCAAGGGAGTCCGTCCTGGTGCAAACAATTCAATGAACATGAGACTCATGAGATACATCACGTTGGCGATTCATGTAGCCTTCAGCAGATGCAAACAGACTCTTTCTCGTCTTATGCTCATGTGTGATACAGAACTTACTGCTAGCTTGCAAGAGTCGACGGCGGCTGAACGAGGAAGATTGCTGTTTACTGCAGCACGAGGTTAACTGTCAATCTTCTCATTGAGTCGCCAGAAATAGTAAAAACATGTTTGATTGCTTCCTGTGGACTGTGTAAGCAAAGAAAACGGTATCTTTCTCTTTCAAATGCTTTTTGAAGCTCAAGGCTATTTCAGTTGTATGAGATTAGTCTCTTATTAAAGAATTCAGAATATGAGCTGGTCACAACTGGAATAAATATTCACCACGAACTTAGCATCTGAAAAACTGCGCACGCACAGTCTAGATCTTAGGACGTCTTGATTGGACTTACAGGCTTGTGAGGTATTCAGCATCCTCGTCCAACGAAAGATGTGGGTTGTTCGACAAGTCCCTGCAGCACCCACAGTATCACGCAATTCCATCACGAGATTTCTTCTTGGGATGAAGTTTCAAGACTCTCAAAAGGTGTGTAATGAGGATATAAACCCCAGCACAAGTCAATAAAGAAAAGATACATAACTGGCTTTCAAGCCCTTCTCAAGCAAAGTCACGAACTTACATGACACAACTGAAAACACAGGAAATACGTACAGATACTCTAGTTCGATCAACTCGTAAATCTCCTGTGGTACCCTCCCGTGAAAGTTGCAACCTGAGAGTTTCCTGGTACACGATGTTCCTGTCAGAAACTTAAGCAGAATATTTTGTCTCAGTATCACATGATCCTTGCCGATGCATCATGTGGAAAATAAACCATATCTGTCGCCCGTAATGTGCCGTACCTTTGTGTATTCCCTCAAATGCAGATGCCACCAAACAGAATGGATCGACATGAGAAACTTCTTGTCTTACAAACGTTTCTCTAAAACTGTAAAATCCTGCGACCTTGCAGCACGGGACATTGACGCTACCCACCTTGACAAAGGTGAATTGACTTGTAAGTTGGCATGTTCCAAGCGAGACCCTGAAATTTCTGACAACTATTTGACTTTAACACCACCTGACGAGCTCGCTCACAAGATTTCCTGAATCTCATTGTCTGATTACAGTAGCGCAAACATTTTCTAAGCTCGGTGTGCAAGAATTGGCGCATTGTTTTGACGATTGAAGGCCACAACCTACATTAAACTTACTTCAAAACTTCAGTAACTCGAGGCAGGAGAGGAATAGTTCAGTTCGTGGAGTCCTACATGTTCGTAAGAGAGAGAGCGCATGGGATGGAAATGCTTGGTAATATAAAAAAGAGATGCTGAGGGAATTGAATGGATACTGAGGTGGACTTACAGGTGCTTAAGTCTATGTAGGAGACCTATTTGTTTCGGAATGGTGGATTTCAACATAGGATTCCCGGATAAATCCCTGCACAACACAGTGGTGGAACATCAAACCCTATGCCTCAACTTGATATTTCAGCAACTTTCGTGCAAAGAAATGGTCTACGTCCCATTCGGGAAAAAAAAAAGAAAAAAAGAAAAAAAAAACACATGTTCAAGCAGATTTGATGTTCAGACCCTGTTTGATCCAGCAACAAGAAGGTTAGAAGGTGGTTACAAAAATGTCAATTCAGCAAGGGCTCCGATTGCGGCTGGGACGCCACCACTCAAATTGGCATCGTTGAGATGCCTGCGAACAGCCCGAAAAATTACAGAGAATTACAAGACGTCAACTGGTAACCCAAAGCGTTGAGCCAACAACAAGAACTACAAAATTGGAGTTAAATGGGATGCGCAGTAGGTTTCACTTCCAAAAGTGCTTACAAATTTATGACAGATTGGGTTGGGCTACAAACGATACCCTTCCACCTAGAACCACAAGGATCTGCATCTTCTCTCAAAGTCCAGCCCTCGAAGACAGCAGAAGTCCCTTGCCACGCGCGAAGCAGCTCTTGTAGCGCAGCCACTGCAGTCGCCTGGCAACCATGTCAGTATGAATGACAAACAAGACCCACAAGCTGCAAAAGCCTCTCATTGTAATCCAACTGCATTTTATATGCAGATCAGGCCACGCAAAGTGAAAAATTCTTGGAAAGAGCTTTACCATCGCTTGAAGAGGTACCAACAGCAAAAGGCAAGCCCAGGCATAACACAATCACCGAAAGAAAGATGTCCCCGGTTGCCATTGCATCTCAAGGTTCCCAGTTTGCCCCAAAACCAGCTAGATCATTCTAGAATCACTCCCCATCCCCCCATGGTCCGAGATTCGACTCCAGCTTGCTTTGTTTGGCGCTGTGCTGTATCTAAATCCCATCAACAGTATGTCGTCCCCTACTGTGAAGCATACACGAAGGTAATAGCTACGCAGCTAACATATACACTAGGCTCATAAACCACGTATAGTTAGAAATCCTACAATCTGGGCTCCTCTGCATGTCTTCAATCAACACACAGCTTGTAATCGCCTAGACTAGACAACCAGAACTTAGAAACCATTGAAATGGACCAAAACACTGCAACACGTTTCGCAATTCGAAAGATGGTGGACCCTCGCATCCAAGTCCTCGGAATTCCTTAGGATCTTCAAGACAGATTCCGTCACAAGTAAGATTCACGTTGGGGAAGGCTCAGGCGATTTCAAGGGTTTCTTTTATTAGTAATGTGGATGGGGTCCTGGAGACTCGTGCACTAGATGCTTCACTGTGAATGGACGCCGTGCAGTGCGGCATTGTACATATCACTGCACACCAAGAGTGGACCCACACAATTCTACGAGAGCTGGTGGCCCACATGAGAGGACCTACTCTTCCCACCAGCACCGGATGAACCTGGACACAGTGGACCATCCAACTTCCGTGAAAGCAAACCTCGCAGAGTCGAGCGAGGGAGAGCCGGAATAGTGTACTCCATCTCATCACAAAGGTGTGATCTCAACTGCAGGAGGTTGCCAGCTTGACAAGGCTTTTGATCCGTTACGAAAAGTGGGAAAGAAACAAGGCATGGGTGAGGCATATGGAACTATTCAAGCTCCATTCGGAGTGGGAATCAGATTCCAATGCTTTCTCCAACTCAATGCTTCTGGTGTAGTCGTAGGCTTACCGGAGCATGTGGTGTTCGATCAGGTTCAGACCACGACGCAGGTTGGATCTCTCAATCGTATCCATGAATCTAGAGGTTCCAGGAACATGACAAACCAGCAGCAGCAGTAGCATACAGTCTCCAATGGGGGAATGAGCAACGTCATTGCACACACACAACGTTGTGCACGACAATTGCAAAAGTGACTGACATTGTCGCCACACACACACACATACAGAGAGAGAATAAATATAAAAGGAGCGAGTCCCTCCAAAGCACACACACCAGGAAGAAACCAGACTGCCACTCTCGATTGTGTGTTTATTTAAACAAGTTTTAAGTTGCTTATTTATATTTGCTTAATAAGTTTTTTTTTGGTGTATTTTATTTACGTATTCTCTAGAAACTTATTTTACTTTGGTGGGATTGAAAGATCATTGGTTACTGTTTTTTGTAACATCTATTTTTTAAAAAATAAAATATAACTTATCTAATGTATTATCTACAAAAATCTTTTAGTTGTAGGTAATTGTTATCAATGGTATTATTATTGGATGTATGATAGTCAATATACACCTTTAACTTACCATTCTATCTACTTTCATACAATATAGTTTTATTTTATTTTATTTTATTATAATAAAATTATGAAGCATCTATTGAAAAATAATATTGACATCATTCTTTGATTTCACAAACTCTACTTAATTCAATTGATGCACAAATAAGTTTAGTAATTTAGCCAAACTTATTATTCAAAAAATTCATATAATTTGAGATTTTGGAAGCTTTTGTATTAAAATGCTCTTAAATTCGTCCATTTGCACATTTCTAATATTCATTAATTAGAATTTCAAAAAAAGATAAAATAATTAAAATATTTATCTTATCTTTCAATTTGACAAACATAAAACACCCACTTTGAAAAGATGTATGTAATTATATTTTATATGTTATTTTAATATAATTTTATGATTATTTATATTATTTTTTTGTATCTATGTATAAAAAATTGATTCTAAAATTCTATTTCTACATGGTATGTGTATATTTTTTCAGAATTGAAATTAAAATTATCAATATTGATTCATATAATATTAATAGAATATTTTTGTATCATTCTTTATTATATTTTGTATTAAAGTTTATTATCAAATTACAATAAATTATACATCAATCATTTACTTTAAGATCAACTTTCAAAGTAAAGCAAATGAATTTAATGCTAATATATGTGTATCATGGACATACATATTTATTCTAATAATTAATTATATGATTAGGTAGAAGTAGATAAAAATATATTAATTTCATAATATCTTCTAGATAAGTTTTTTAAATACTTCATAAATATAGCTTTGGCTTTACATGTGTTTGTAATTGATTAATAAGTTAGAAACTTGGTTAACAAGTTAATCACTTGTCATACATATTGGTAGCTTGTGGAACAAGCTAACTATGTAGCGCATATGTAAAAAACTTGCCTTGCAAATTAAAACATGTATTTTGCAAAGTCAACATGTCTTAGAAGTCCTATAGAATATTACCATGTAGCTTCTAAATAGATAATATATAAAGAGACAAGAGTGAAATCTTCTTCACTCTTCTCAATGCTTTTTTTATTCTTAGTCTAGTCTTGAGAGTCTATACTCTTCTTGTCTTTAGCAATAGCCATTCTACTTTTAAATTATACCATCTTTGAAAAATTCTCTAATATTTTCAAGTCATAGAAGAATATATTGATATTTTAGTTCTTAGAAATTCTTGCCTTTGATAGTTTGACAAGAGTGCTAACTCATTGTTTTTGTCTTGTTATACAAATAAGTCGATTATCTCACTTCTATTGTTGTATTTTGAAGGTTGTGGACTACCCACCTTTAAACAAATAATTTAATTTTCTAATAGTAATTTTTTCCTTAAAGAGAGTAGATCATTAAATTTATAATTTAAATTCATTTTAGAAAGTGTATATGATTATACTAAGAAAAAATGATTAAGAGAAGAAAATAGAGACCAAGATCATTTCTCTATAACAAAGATCGTGTCATGGATATACATAGATATTCTAATAGATACCTATATGATTAGGTAGGAATAGGTAAAAGTAGAAAAAAATAGATTAATTTCATAAAACCTTTTAAAATAGATTCCTAAAAGCTTCATACATGTGTTTGTAGTTAATTGGTAGGTTAGAAACTTTATCAACAAGGTAACCATATATTGGTAGCTTGGAGAATAAGCTAATTATGTGGTGCATACATAAAAAACTTGCCTTGTAAGTGAAGATATGTGTCTTGTAAAGTCAACACATTTTAGAGGTCCTATAGGACTTGGCCATATAGCTCCTAGTTAAGAGTATATATAGATGCAAGAGTGAAGCCTTCTTCACTCTTATCAATACCTTTCTAGTGTCTAGTCTTATTTCAAGACTTTCAAGTCTTTTTGTTTTAGAAATAGCCATTATACTTTAATATTACATCACCTTTTGAGTGATTTTTTAGTTCTCTTCAATGATACAAGATTGTATTGAAGATTTTCTTTCTTTGAAATTCATATCCTTAACAGTTTGATAAGAGTATTAACATACTATTTTTTTCTTATTTTAAAAGTAAGTAGATTATTCTATTTTTATTGTTGTATTTTAAAGGTTGCAAACTACCCACCTTTTAAACAAAAAATCTTATTTTCTAACACTGATCTTTTCCTTAAAGAAAGTAGATTACTCCTCTTTGTAAAAATTTTTATTAGAGGTTGCAAGTTATCCTCCTCTAATTTAACTTTTTGGATTTGTTTGAGTTGTCTATGGAAGGAAAGACTATGGATACTATTCCTAGTGGAAGTGACAATGGATTTGCAACTATTGCAAATCTTCATGAGCTATCAACACTTTAAGAGTGAAAATCTCATGTATTTCTAATATGAATTATGGAGGTATTATGCCTACTCCTATGGGAGAAGTTCAAAGTCTGTGGTAAAAAGTTGTTTAGTTGAAGGAAGCAAGTAGATCGGCCTCACAACCAAATTAAAGGAGTTTTGCTTCTACAAGTATGACAGAGACAAGGATTAATATACCTAAGAAGTTTGATGGAACAAGATCAAAATTTTGAAGATTTTTGCAATAAATTAAGCTCTATTTAAGGTTGCATGCCTTCTAATACTCTAATGAATTTACTCAAGTCGGATTCATATGTGTACTTCTATCAAAAAGTACTTTTTCTAAGTTTGCATCTTTAATGAAAAAAGATTTGCAACTCCTTTATGATTTGAATTCATTCCTAGAAGTGTTTAAGGCCACATTTGGAGAAAGTGATTAAGAAAGAGTAGCAAAGACCAAGCTCTTATCTTTACAACAAGGGAATGGTCAACCACCATATATGCTACTAAATTCCAAAACCTCGCTTATGATGTAGACTGGAATGACAAAGCTCTTATCAATCAATTTCCATGTGGATTGAAGAATAATGTCAAAGACTTGTTACTAATAATATCAAAGATAAAATCTTTGGAACAATTTATGTCATGGATATATACATTTAGTTCAATAATTACTTATGTGATTAGGTAGAAGTAGGTAAATATAAATTAATTTCATAAAGTCTTTTAGTGAAGCTTCTTAAAAGCTTCATAGATACGGTTTTAATTTTAGATGTGTTTATAGGTGAAAAACTTTGCCAATAAGTTAACCACATGTTGGTGGCATGTAGAAAAAGTTAACTCTGTATAATAGCTTGTGGAACAAGCTAACCATGTGGTACATACATAAATAACTTGCCTTACAAGTTAAGACATGTGGCTAGCAAAGTCAACATGTTTTCGAGGTCCTATAAGACATTACTACATAGCTCATAGTTAAGATTATATATGGATGCAAGAATGAAGCCTTCTTCACTCTTATCAACACCATTCTAGTCTTTAGTCTGGTTTTAAGACTTTCTAGTCTTTTTTGTTTTTGGCAATAGTTATTCTAATTTAATATTACATTATCTTTTGAATGACTTTCTAGTACACTTTAGTGACACAAGAGTGTATTGAGGATTCTCTTTTTGTAAGATTTATGTCCTTAATATTTTGACAAGAGTGCTAATATATTATTTTTGTCTTCTTTTAGGAAAAAGTAGATTATCCCATTTCTATTGTTGTATTTTGAAGGTTACAGACTATCCACCTTTTAAACAAAAAAATCTTGTTTTCTAACACTGATCTTTTCTTAAAGAGAGTGGATTATCCTTCTTTGTGGAAATTTTTATTAGAGGTTGCAGATTACCCTCCTCTAGTTTAACTTTTTGGATTTGTTTGAATTTCCTATTGAAGGAAAGATTATGGATGCTATACCTAGCAGAAATGAGAACAGATTTGTAACTATTGTGAATCTTCATGAACTTATCAATACTCTTAGAGTAGAAATCTCACATATTTCTAACGTTGTCATGTTGTAACACGAGTACACCGTGAAAATATAAAAAAAGGGGACTTTTATTAATGTTCAGTTACCTCGAATATTGGGAGCAACGACCAATTTCAGTGCAAATACTGAGAGGTTAGGATCTATCACCCCGTTATAGTCAGCCCGGGCATACTGAAATGCTCCATTCGATTCCAATAACGGGAGTGAGCAGAAAGGGAAA